ACCTCAACCGACCACATCTCCCAAAACCCAACGGTAAATTAACGCCCACAGGGAAATACATACCTTGTAAGCATGCCTAAACCACGTTGTTCCTTTCTTCTTACTACTAACTAGCGCAATCCATTCACCGCAACTTCCACATAAACCCTCCCAGACATCGAGATTCCCCTCCGTCCTCCTCGTCTCCTGCGGTCCCTGGAACGCCGCGCCCGTTGCAGCACTAACCCCATGAGTAAAGGATTTGTCGTACCAGAATGCACTGTTTTTGAGCACAAGCCAGCGGCCGGGTTTACAAAGACCGCACCAACCTTCACGCTTGTTTCCATGGCCACGAACCCAGCGGGGAGTGTAGAGATCTCCGACAAAACGTAGGTCTTGCTCGTGCGGAACGAGATCGGGGTCGGAGGGATTCATGTCGGATTCGGGCGGGTCTGAAGGTGCGTCGTGGAGAGATGAGTAGAGATCTGGTGGATCAGAGAGATCAGCAAAATGAGAAGCACACCCTCCGTGTCGGTCTGCGTTGCTTTGTAGTAATCTGAACAGCCCTTGAGAGGGTAAAGCACGCGGAACCTCCAAATGAAACGGTTGATCTGGTGAAGCAAACAATGTCGGATTGCTAGATTGCAAAGGATGCGGCTGCGAGTAAAGCACATTTTGAGTCTGCAGCTGGAAGTTGCTCAACGCGCTGGGCGGATAGACCGGCATGGAGTGATGCGGATTTAGCCGATTGCCATACAGAGAATATCGATCCTGAACCTGAGGAAGTGCACGTGAGCTAGATGGAGTTGAGGTAGGAGCGTGACCGGTCGACCATCTCTTGAAACGGCTGCTTTCCATAGTATATGGCGAAGAGCGCATATTGTTGTGAGGTGCAGGAGATGCACGAGATCTACTTCCACTGCGGACAACTGAATCATGCTGCGTACGTCTCGGAGAGGCCAGCGGGGAGAGAAGGTTTGGTGCAGGCTCAAGATTGTTCCAAGCCTCGCAATCCGACGCATATGAAACCGCTTCAGAAACAGAAGATCCCAACTCTTCATATGTAGAAGCTTCTTGTAGTGCTCCGCCAGTACTCGACATAGAGAATGACGATTCTGACAACCGTCGGGTCAACGTTGGGTTGAACACCCCAGGGCCATCGCCCTCTTGACCTGTGTTATTGTACTGTCCGAGGTGAATAATCGACGTATCCTCGTCATGTCCCATTAATCCCCGGCTGAAGTCTGACACGTCTGGATCCAAAGATGGGAAGGAGTCTAGTTCCTCGCACACTTTTTGACCCCACGAGCCTAAAACATTCAGTTGAGATATGATGTTAAGGATGGGAAGATAAACTCACTGGTATCGATTACAGTCCCAACGAAGTAATCAGTAGTAACTGGAAGACCATGGCCAGTCAGACTGCTCGAGAAACTATTGGTCGTTACAGATGTTGGCTGAGGGGTTGAACCGTTCGTCTGATCGCTTGAGTCCTGGGAAGTTGTTTCCCTCAGAAGTGGCATCTGGCTCTGTGGAATCTGGCTATATTGGTTCTGTTCAAGTTGGAAATTCCAAGTGGGGTAGGAAGACGAAGGCCTTGATTGTGGCATCTGTTGAGAATGCGGGGCTTGGTGCTGATACTGATGGTGCTGTTGGTGTTGAGGTGCCTGCGTCTGGTACGATTGCAGACCGTAGTTACCGTATTGGTACATCATTTGACCCGCATATCGAGAGGAGGGTTGAGTGAAAGGCGCATTAGATGATGACCGGTATCTATATACCACATAGTTAGCCAAGAGCTAGCCACACTGAGAGTTGATATCGGTTAGCCTTACTGAACCGCATTAAATTCCATCTTTAGCTTTGTCGACTGTAGATTTTCGGCCCCAAAGTGCGTCCCGTGGTATACTGCATTGGTGCAATTAATTAGCCCTGAGGATGGACTGGTACAAAATCGTATGAGGACCAACGTGCATCTGACAGGAGGATTCTCCGAGATAGAGTGAGAGGGAAATGCAAGATATGGGGGAAGTGTCCAGCAACATACAAGTAGTGAAGGTAATATATCCGCGCCAAGGAATGTGACTAGCTGATAAGTGTTGTACGACTTCTAAAATATGAATAAAAGATGGCTTGAAGACCGGACTAAAATGAGTGTCAGAGGAAGATAAACCTCGATCGCAACCAGCGCGGAAAGGAGTCCCGCTCCAGTGTCTAAAAATGAGTGAATAAAGTAAAAAGTAAGAATAGAACAACAATAGGGCTGGGTTTTAATGAGTGACGAGGCCAAAGGGAAAGGAAGGGCAACTTGAGGGACCGTGAGACTATAAGGGAAAACATGGGGTTGAGAAGTTTGGGGTGCAACGATGGTGAAATGGGATGACGTGTTGGAGAATTAACGCAAAATGAACAACTTGACCGCTTGGTTTGAGGGCAGCGTCGGGAGGCGCCTTGGCTGCAGACATCTGGAACGGCGACAGCTTGGGGCAGAACCGTTCGCCCAAAGCAGGCATCGACGGGGATTCCGACGGTAGTCGAGCTAGATCAGTCTGGGGTTAAGAGGAGTTTGAGGATGTGGTGATACAGGGTGTTGTGCCTCAATCTGGGGAACAGACATCTAGCAGGACAGCGAGAACGAGCCATGAAGAACAGATTAAGCATTTCAGCTACACGCTGCCTATTTTCCAGCACACTGAGCGTCCCTTGCGGGAGTAGCAGCGATGTCGACATGGTGGAGATATGCCCGGACAAAGAGCGAGCCGGCAGGTATGGAGGTAGAGTGGGGAGTGTAGGATGCCTCTGAAGTGCTGAGGAAGGTTAGTGGAAATCGTAAGACGAAACTCTTGGAGGGGTGCAGTTTCAGGAATCAGGACTGAACCCTGGCCATCCTCCTCCATCGTTCTTCTCAATCGAGCACAAGGCGAGCAAAAAATGTGGATTGAGCGAAGGGAGTGGAGGAGAAGAGAAGGGAGGTGGTGAAGACGCGACGTCCAGTGTCGCGACGAGGGGTTGTTAGAGACTTGAAACGAGCCATCATCGCCGTTAACTATCATCGCCATCGTCAGCGGCTCATCGGCAACTCACTACCACCTCACCACCGCGACAACGAAATATTCAACAGAAGAGAAGGTCATTCGTAGCCAGTGTAATGGGTTCTTGTGGTGCGGATGTGTGTTACTCTTGCGACCTCGTGCATTCTGTAGACTGTCTCCACCACCACGCTCCCTCTCGTTTTCGCCTTGCCACGCGCAAGGGATGAAGATATAAGCATTGTGTAGCCTTACAAGGGGCTGTCAAGTACCTCTTTCATATATACATTTACATCCATATTGGTATATTTGTGTGTATGATCATGTGATTCATGCTTACCAACACATTCGCACTATTCTACTTAGCAGTTTTCCTATTCTTCCCACCATCCAGTAAAAACTATCTACCCTTCCACCTCCACCAGATAAGTAAGTATTTGTCAACACTGTTCAACCTTTATCAATGCATGAATACCTTTCTCCAGAACAGGGTTAAAAAGTAAAAGGTGTAGTAATCCGAATTCAGCCACCATCATGCCCAGTTCTCGAGTTGGATCTGGGAGCCCACCACCACGACGCATGAAAAAGTACGGTCCGAAAAATCTGGTAGAAAGTGAATGTATACGGCCCGGGTAATGGGGTCATTCCGGCCGTATACTTGTGAACCCGTCTCTGACCGGTGAGTGGTGTTGCAAGTGTTCTGGAAGTTGAAGCAGTGTTTCTTCCTTGCATGACAATACAGGAGCATATCACAGCCCAACGTTCTGATATGTACTGGAGAGCTGCAGGTCTGACGGTTCCGTCAAGCTATATGTGTTGAGCACGTTCGGTTTATCTCAATTCTAACTCAAAGTTATGGGAAATCCACGATATTAAGGCTATCGCAGTCCCTTTCTCAACCCTTTCTCAACCCTTTCTCAACCCTTTCTCAATCTTCTCTCAATTACTTCTGTATGGTCCATCTCATGAGTTTCATACTCAGCCCCGAGCAGGTAATATTTTGCCCCATGATTATTCCCATCTCACTAAGAGGCTGTGACCGGGCAATTTGAGAACAGAACCTATATATCAAAAGTCGAATTTCGAAGAAACTATGAGTGGGAAGGCCCGAGCATACATCTAAAGTCTGATAACCAAGCAGAAGGCACGCGTGTAAGGCAAAAAGGAAGAGTAGACGGAAGGCAAAAAGAGAAAATGTAGTCCCACTGGGGATCGAACCCAGGACCTTTCGCGCTTTAGAAAAGCTTGAACTGCACTTAATGTGAAGCGAACGTCATACCACTAGACCATAGGACTTGTTTTTAAGTAAATAAATATTAAAATTATATAACACCAAAAATTCAGCTTACCACCGTGAGTGGACGTCTGCTTCTATTTGCATTGTGGAGAAAATTTTCCCTCAAACCTTACTCTTCGGCTCCTGACTTCTGTCTTGTCTAAAAAGAAATAGAACCTTGAAGGGTTGGAAACTGACAGGCTCTGGGTAAGGATCTTCAGAGTCGATTAACATGGTTGGAATGAAAACCTTTCTGCCCAACTCTTACTAAAGAAAAATAAAAAAAAAAAGTATAAAAATAAGCTCAATAGCTTCTGTAAGCATGGTCGACCGACGTCGGACTCGAACCGACAGCCTCACCCTTAGGAGGGGTGCGCGCTACCATTGCGCCAGCCAGCCTTAATTGATATGATAAATGTAGCTAATAAATAATTATAAGGAAATTTTAGTCAGATACCGCGCCGATCCGGGTTAAACTATACCAACCGTGACTGACAATGAAAAAGAAAAAACACGAAAATAAAACAGAAACCAAAACAATAAGAAGATGAGCAAAAAATAGAAAGGAAGACATTGCTAATTCTTTGTTCTTTGTAAAATAAAGCCTTCGAGTTCGTGGTGTCCGCCCACAAATCCCGACGCGAGCGGCAAAAATCGAAATTCATCCTTTGTCAACCACATGAAGAAGCAAAATTGGTAGTAATCAGAAAAAAATAAGCCCGACGTGGGGGTCGAACCCACAACCTTGAGATGTACCACAATCGTTCTGAGAGAACGGGAAACATAAGAGTCTCACGCTCTACCGATTGAGCTAGCCGGGCTAGTTTATCAATTGATATGATACATTTTGTTATTTTGTATAATAATAAAAATAAAATTGGTGCAAAAAAGTAGAGAAACGAGCTAAAGAAGTGGAGACGTCATATGGGCCTGGCTAGAGATGGCGTGGATGGAAAGTGGGGATGGATGGGACCCTTATTAGGGCTTTAGTGCTGAAATCAGAAAGGAGCCGTATCCAGGACCCAACTTCAAAATGACATTTCGGCAGACCTGGAGGACAGTGTCCCTAATCTCATGAGGTAAAGAGTCGGAAGAGTCGAGGAGCTGCGTGTAGTAGAGATCCCAAAAGGAGCATATAAACAAGAAAAGAGTCGAGATTGTCAATCAAAACGCTGCCTTAGATCCAGTAAAGTTGAGCCAATATAGAAAGTAGTGAATAATCTCCAAACCGTGGACCCGTGAAAATAGAAGCCTCTTTATTGTGTAGAACTTAGAGAACTATTACTGGCATACCACGGTATCTGCTCAATGGAACTGAAGTCGAAGTAATTCGCAAATGAACTATGCCAGTGTCCTCTCCTTGGCATGACTGATTTGGTTTGTCCATATCCGCAATGGTAGAACTCGGTAAGGGCGACACGGAAGGACACTTCGTCAGATCTGATTATGACCTAAGAACAGACCAAAGTAGGGGAATCAAATTCCAATTTCCAAGCATGTTCGGGTATATCCTCCGCTGTACGGGCGCCATAAACTCCATAAAAGTGCACAATGTAGTTCGAAAATTATTCACGCCATTCTTTGGCGCATTTCGTACACTGCCCATCTGTTAATATTCACATATTCGAACCTAAATGCAAGAGTAAACTATACCTTATAGAAAGCAGTCATAGGTTCATCAGCGCTGCGAATCTGCAGCATATAGAAGAAAGCCTCGTCATTCCGGCACTTCTCGTTCGGACACTGCACGTTCGTCTTGTCCACGTTATCCCAAGCACCCTTTCCACCCAGCACGTCCTCAACCTCCTTTCTCTTCATTGACTTGCGCTCGAAGTACCGCTGGTCAAGGGCGAATGCATAAGGGCAGGTGCGGCATTCGAAACGGTTGTTTCCAGCTTCGTCGGCTTGTTGCGGGTCGTCGCCGGGGATGGGGGTGACGGTAAGGAGGTTGCTGCAGTTGGGGCAGACTAGAGGAAGGATCAGTGCTGGATATAATAAGAAGGAAGCAATGACGTACAGAGCAACATCTTGATGTTATCTGAAAGGTAGAAGAGAGGGCGTTGTCAACTGAACTTTGCAGATTAGAGGTCAGAAGTGAGGTCCAACTACTTTGCAGAGTGGCGGGGCATAGGACATTTTTGCAAGGATAATTAAGCCTCTGGGCACCTTTCCTAACCTAGAAGAGTGCGGGGTCCTTGGGCTGAGCCGCATGCGTGGGCGATCCGAGATGTCCGGGATACTTCCACCGAGACTGTCCCACCCCAAGTAGAACTGCAGCTGATATTTGTGTGTTTCTACCGCACAATCCTAGTTATCTCCATTTTGCCAGTACCACTGATCTTTTGGGCCACGTGAGAGACTGTTTGCTCAGCGTACAGCCCCTCCCAATCTCCACTGCCCCCGCGTTGCAAATACCCCTCCGGAATTTGCTCCTCCTTTACTCCCTAGGATACCCAGTTAGCTGCAGAGAGATATGGCGGACGACGAGGTATCTTTCTCAGTGTTTCCCATTCTCCAGGGCTATGGATAATTTTGGCTAACCACTTTCGTAGGGCGCATCCCCTCGCGAGCTCATCCTTGAAGCGTGCCGGCGCAACAACATATCTTTATTAGAAGATACGATAGAGGATCTGACTAAAGCGGCCAAGAAAGCGGGGAAAAAATCCACGGAATATGTGGCGGAGACACTGAACCATGCCCATGATGGGCTGGGCAATGGGTGTCTACATCTGGCGGCTGCCTATGGAAGTTGTAAGTAAACCGTCGAAGTACCAATATCTGGTCACGACCATACTTGATTGTCTATGGTGGATCTCCAGCAAAATTTCTAGAGCATTTATTGAAAGTTCACTGATTGTTTCATACGTAGACGAAGTTCTAGACATTTTGCTCGACCAAGAGGGTTTGGAGATTGACGAAGTAGACCGAATGGAGCGCGACACTGCTCTCCATCGAGCTGTGCGCTACGTCAACTCCCTCGACAAGTCCGAATGGGAAAGCGTCGGCCAGCCTATCGTGGATATCCTCCTAGACGCTGGTTGCGACCCAAGGATACGGAATAAGGCGAAACTGAAGCCCATTGAGCTGGTAGATCCTCGGAACACTGAGTTAAGGAGTATTTTGCAGAAGGGGGAATATGCTATTATGGCTGGTGACGACATTGTGCAAGACGATGATGGACCAACTGGGAGCGGAAGTGATAGCGAGTAGAGCATGTATTGACAGAAAGGAAAGCACGTTCCATTTCTGATATAGAGGAGTACTATCTAGTCGCCATTATATTCCCGTGATGTATCACCATCTCCGAGTGACATTGTTCCAGTAACTCATTATCGATCCCTCTTTTCACAACTCCATGTCGCCTTCTCGGATAGCCTGGAAGACCATTTCTGATCACCCTCACACTTTCGAGCATTAAAACCCTATATGTCAGCACCTCTAAGGTTACGTATGCACCTGCATGGTTCTGATTATTCTGCCATACTCTGAAGATTGTGAACATCGATTTAAGAGGTGTGGGTTATCAGTCCTTTGGCTAGAGAACAATTTAGCCACTGATTACAATACTCTTGGATCTCACTAACCTCTGGTGGCGGTCCAACGGGCTGGATCATCTTGTCTATCATTTGGGCACGGAGCTTTTCGCGAGGTTGGCCAAGCCCAATAGACATGTACTGGAGTAAGGCTGGGTGGCCGATGTAACTGGCATAGGAATCCCGGGCGATGTTAGAGGTCCACTCGAATTTGGTGGTATCTGCATGACCAGTGCCGACATAGCGAGCCTGAAGAGCTTCAAGTTGCTGTTGAGCGCGTAGTTTATCGGCCATTTTGAGACGTTTGTAGAATGTTTTGGTGTTGTTGTTAGGGAAGAGATGAGAAAGCAGCGCGGCGATAAAGTCGGAGATCCCCAGACGAACTGCGCACGGACCATGAGCAGCGATCTCCCACAGCTCCCAGACATGATGCGTCAATTCTTCATGCATCAATCTGTTCCAAATTACAAAACTGCAAAAACAACTTTGCGTCGCATTTCATAAGGCCGAAGAGCACATCTGAGCGTAGTTAAGCCTCCCACCCTGTCATGTCCGCCGCACCCCTTACACCAGGCGAAGACCAGGAGCCTCCATCGACCATTGATTATGCTCCCGAGAATGTTCCATACGATGAGAGCTTTGAGAATGAGCTGATGAAGACTGTCCTTTATCCGCCGCCAGATTCACATTCCCGACCGTTTCCATCCCACGATGATCTATATGTTCCGGTATCCTCGCTACCGGTGCCTCTCAGCTCGCGGCTTCGCACCCATCCTTCCCCAATACCTGGACTTTTTCTGACGCATCCCCACGGATCTTATACGGGAGGCCCCAGATCTTCTGCATCGGCAGCGAATGCCTTCGCAGAGCGTTTCATTTCCGAAAACAACCTCACAACCGCTGACGATTTAGAGAGGAAGGTTGCTGAAACTATGAAGGAAAAAATAGAAGAGGTGAAAGAGAGGTTCATGGCTAGGGAAGAGGCGCTCGAGAAAAACGAGGCTGTCAGGAAAGATATCAAGAACTTGGAGGTTCAGAGGCAGGCAGAAGTGAGAGTGGAGGAGAGGATCAGAAGAGACAAGGAACATAAGAGAGGAAAGGTTTGAACGCCATCATCATCTCAGTTTAAAGAATCTGGTACGCCCCGAAGGATTATGCAAACCTCTTGTGGTTCGGTCCTCTTTCCGACACAGCAAACTGATTCTAGCTCACCAACCTTCGCGATGCGTCTTTCAACTCGAATGCAGTCCGGGGATTGTGTACCATACGGCAAGTGTCGACAATATCCACCATCGACTTAGACCACGTTACCTACTTATGCTGCCTTGATCAAATATCGCAGCTATGCCCCTTAATGACTCTCAGAGTCTGCGCGAAGAGGGCATGCCTATTGGACCCCTTCTCCTCGCTGTGTTCATCATTTCTACCCATGTAGGAAGAACAGCTGCAGTATTCATGAGCCTAGAAGTCCTACAGAGAAAAGGATGTGCATGTTATCCATTTCTGCTTCATACTTAAAGCCTTAACGGTAGCGGTAATTAGAATTATATACCTTGCTCTAAGTATACCTTAAGGCTACTAACGCCGCTTCAGTCTTATATTTATTATAAAAGAATGGCTTTAAGCAGTGGATAGAAAAGGGTTAACTACGTAACTTGTCTTGGCATATGCAAGGATTATCTGGGTGATACGGTGTGCGATATCTCACCAACCTTCAAAGTAGTAAGCCAAACATACTCCATTGTTGACAATCGACCGCTTCAGCATGCCAAAGCAGTCTCTGAAAGAGCAGTGACAGCGACAAACCTTCACTTTCTCAACTTTGCTGAGCCGCTCTTACTCTGAGTATCTTCGTCTGCACTTTACCATTGAATGTGAACACCATCATTATGTCTGCCATATCTGCTATACTATGGCGTGGATTCAGCTTCCTCTATGGTCTAGTAGGTATGGCAGGGTTTATTGCAGCTATGGCCCGGGATGGGACCCTTTTTACGAAACCTTCTCAGAAAGAGACGGACCAAGTTGCACATGGTATCAATTCCGCCCTCATTCCCTTTAGGCTCCAGACTCATTCTAATATGCAAACAGCCCAAAATGAGCTTTGGGATCTGAAGAGGTCACCCATGGGCCTGAAACACAAATTCTTCCAGTTTCGATCTGAGCGCCGACTGCATTATGTTGTCAATGCCGGCATCGAGAATCCCAATAATGTCATTATATTCATTCATGGTATGTGACGTTGTCGCTTTTTATACGACTCCCTCCACTCAGACTAGACTTATAGG